CGCAGCAGGTAAGAACCCAATCTTGTATCTCTCATGTCTCTCTCTCTCTCACTCTCTATTTCTCTTCTTGTTGTAGGTGCGTGGCGTCTTCTTCCACCTCGAGGTCCGCTATGGCGGACTGCCTCCTCCGGCGGTCACTTCGGCTACGGCACATCGGCCCTGCCCACATCGCGCGCGTGGAACAGCAGGTACCTGCTCCGATACCAGTGGAATCAGACTCGACTTATTCACACTTCGTCATGAATGGAAACAGCGATACAACAAACTGGCAACATTCGCCCACACAGTACTCAAAGATATCGTGACCAGATAAGAGTTCTCTTCCAACTGGCTATGGCGACTAGGCGCCCACACAATTCACTGTTCTCACTCTGGATCACCCTGGATGTCCCACACGCAACACTCAGTATCCATACACAACACACACATACCCTATGCTACAGCTATGGCAGCGCTAGCTGCCACGACCCTATCGCTACACTACGCTTCTCTGCCCACTTCGTCCTCGGGCACACTGCAGACCTCCTCGCGCAAGCTGCTGAGGCAGCGCTTCCGCATGGCATCCGCAGGAATGAATGAATGGCTGGGTGCAGCCTCTTGATTTATACTTCTGCGCTGCTTTGGTCTGCCCTGTGTCCCTTGGCCCTTGGTGCACACAGTCCCAGACGGTACTTGTTGGACAGGACCGGACTGCCTAACTGGGACTGTTGACTCAGCAGGGTGGCCTACCACCACTTGACCACTTGCCTCTGTTCAACGTAGGCTCACTCCGAAAGGCCACTTCTAGAAACTAACTTGGCCTTTCGGTGCTGTAGCGGCTACGACTTTGCCTCTTCAGGTAAGACAGCAGCTACGACCTTGACCCTTCAGACATCCTACAACTACGACTTCGGAACTGTCTAGACTCCTACCCTACAAGTCTACAGTTCGATTCCCTTCTAAGCTGTGACCGACGACAATCTACCTACCACTGGCGTTTCAACAGGTCGCGGGTTCAAATCTACGGGTTGACATCAATACTGTACACAGGTAAGATGGGGAACTAGGGATCGAGCCCTGGGATCTGCATTCGCTACTGCGAACCGGTGAATATCGTTTCACTGGAACCGGGCCCTAACTTGGGCCCGTGTGGCTCAGTATGCTAGACTACTTCTAATCCAACTACTTCAAATTTGGTTGTTATTACTGTAAATTCTCAAACTTATTTTCTCTCTCCTGATGAGGATGATCCTCCACCTGAAGTCCCAATAAACATTTGACGTTTACTAGATCAATTTTCGGAAGTTCTGGTTGAACCTCGTGGAGTTCCCGAGAGTTCGGTCAAACACAAGATCGAGATAGTAGAAGGGAGTGTTCCTCCAAAGGGCTGCATCTACTGTATGGGGCAAGGCGAGTTGGAGGAGCTGAGAAGACAGATTGATGACATGCCTGATCGTGGATGGATTAGGCCTAGTGAATCTGAGCTCGGTGCACCTGTCCTGTTTGTGCCGAAGAAAGGAGGCAAACTCCGGATGTGTATCGACTATCGAGGCCTAAATCGTATCACAAGAAAAAACGCTTATCCTTTGCCACACATAAATGATTTGTTGGATGCTGCAAGTGGGTGCAAGGTCTTCTCCAATATTGACCTCTAAGCCTGGCTATCACCAGATTGAAGTTGATTTGATCGACCAGCACAACACTTCGTTCAAGACACGCGATGGGCTGTACGAATTTATCGTTATGCCCTTCGGTCTCACAAATGCACCAGCCACATTTCATTGCCTCATGGACAAAGCTCTCCGCCATCAGCTCAATAGGTTTGTTGTCGTTTACCTCGATGAAATCCTGATTTTCAGCAAGTCCATGGAAGAGCATGTCGAGCACCTTGAGGAAGTCTTGCAGGTTCTCAAGGAGGCGAAGCTGCACCTCAACTTAGAGATACCCGAGTTTGGAAGGGACAACGCCATCTATCTTGGGCATCGGTTGTCTGCAAACGTCCTTGAGCTTGAGGCAACCAAGTGGCCTCAACCGGTGACTGTACGCGAACTGCGTTCCTTTCTTGGTTCGGATTCGTATTACCGGAAGTTTGTACCCAATTTTTTTGTAATTGCTCACCCACTCTCGAGACTAACAAGCAAAAATGTCGCTTATGCGTGGTGTGAGAAATGCGAGACTGCGTTTCGAGCTTTCAAAAAAGCTTTGGTAAGTCACCTTGTGCTCGGCATTGCGGATGCCAACCTCACATTCGTGGTCACTATGAATGCGAGTCAGTATGGGATTGGCGCAGTGTTGCAGCAAGATGATGGTGATGGTCGGACCGCTCAAATATTACAGCAAATGCATGCTCGACCACAAGGTAGCTACCTCAACATATGTGCATGAGCGCTATGCCTTGCAAGAGGTGCTTGCACATTGGAAGCACTACCTCTTGGGTCGTCCCTTTACTCTGATCATCAGACCTTGCAGTGGATCAAAATGCAAATTGATCTCTCTTCGATGCTGACCCGGTAGCTGCATGACATTAATATTTGCAATTTTGAACTAAAACAAAAGAAAGGTTGTTATAATTATGTCGCTGATTCTTTGTCTCGACATCCTGAGTTTTTGACTTGCCTCGTGGGCTCGTACGACCTGCGAAGGAAACTGAAGGAGGATTTGGTCGAGCACACTGCCAAGAATCTGGACCTTAGTCCCATCGTTGAGCAGATCAAGGCTGGCCCTAGCAGCCAGTCTGATTTTCATGAGTGCGAGGGTCCTGTATTCCAACGCCATGGGAAGTTTGATCGTTTGTGTGTACAACCATGCGCCTCTCCGAACTCATTTCTTGGATTTGGCACATGGTCGGAGGACACTTCGACTTTGAGAAGACTTACGTAAGTCTTTTGCAGCAGTTTGGTTGGTCGGGAATGAAGGGATCCACTTATAAGTTTATTGTTGAATGTCAAGTCTGTCAAAGATCTGAGCTTCATAGGCATAAGCCTTATGGCCTGATGAAACCTCTCCCCATTCCTGATGCACCTTGTGAGCCGGTTTCTATCGATTTCACAGACATGGGAAAGGTGAGCGAGGGAGGACATTCACAAGCCATGGTAATCGTGGATCGTTTTTCTAAATTCCTGAACTTTATTCCTTTACCTCCTTATGCACCAATTGAGCTTGTGATTGAAGAATTCCACCAGCAGTACATTTTGCAGTATGGCCCCCCGAAAACCCTTGTGAGTGATCGGGACACCAGGTGCATTAGTACTAATTGGAAGGACTTCACCTCTCAAATCTACGACATTAAACTCAACATGACTTCTGGTTAACACCCCGAAGCCAATGGGTTGACCGAGGAAATCAACCAGAGTGTCATTCAACTACTTCGCGCGTTAATTGTTCTCGACCAGAACGCGTGGGACAAGGAGTTAAAAAAAGTGAAGCGGTTGTATAACGACTCCATTCACTCCGCAACTGGCATGACACCGAATCAACTGCAACACGGTTGGCCGCTGCGCAATTCTCTCTCCTATTTATTCCCCGATCGGTCACCTGGTCTGACGCCCGGCATGCCTGGCTACAATGCCAAGTATGCACGCTTGCTCAAAGTTGCTATCACAGTGATGAACAAGCGCCAGCATGCCATGATTAAACATGCTAACAAGTCGCGCAAA